TTGTGTCGATTTATTAATTCTTCTGAAAAACAAACAATCTAAATCACTTTCGTAAGTGCTTGTTGATTTAGATTGTGTGTTTTTGGATTTTTGGGATTTGGAATATTTTTAATCTTGATCTAATCACGAATCACTTAGGATTTTCAGTATGGGTGTTGGTTTTCTTTCACAATTCAAACCAAAGCAAAATGGCCAAGGACCATATATGGTGCCCGTATTTTGGGTTTCTATTTCCACCGTTTTTCTTTTTGTTTTTTTTTTGGGACCACGTGCCCCATTTGAAACCTTTTGATAGATAGAGGTTAATCTTTTTGGTTCAGTGGATAGCTATGGCTGGCACTAGGAGGTTTTATTGAATTTGATGGTGGTGTTGTTCCTTGGCATGAGATCTTTTTTTTTTTTTTTTTTTTTTTTTTTTTTTTTTCCGATCAGATGGTGGTGTTGTTCCTTGGCATGAGATCTTTAGACTGATTGTTTGAATTTGATATTGTCTGAGGAGAATATATATAAGAAGCTGTGCAGTTTTTGAGAATTATTTCGGACATTATTTTCATCATCCGAACCGTTCAATTTTTAAAGAACGTCGAGTAGAACATACCTGTAAAAAATCAAGTTGATCAGATATTTATAAACCCTTCATCAACTGGAATCTGTGTATATAAAAATAAATATATAAGTATTAAATTGAATACAAATGTGAGTTGATGAAGGGTTTATCAATATCCGATCAACTTGATTTTTACAAGTTTGTTCTACTAGATATTTTTTTAGAATTTAACGGTTTCGATGATGAAAATAAAATTTGAAATAATTTCCATGAGCTGTACAACAGTCATTATTGTGCAAGCCGCACGGTAATGACTCCAACTCCAATAAATAATAAGTATTAGGAAAACTCTTACGTGTAGTGGCGGACATAGAAATTGTACAAAGGTGTATTCTTAAGTCCTTACCTTTTTGCTTTAATTATGGATGAGTTGACAAGAAATATTCAAGATGGCGTGTCATGGTGCAGACGATATTGTGCTAGTGGATGAGACTAGAAAAGGAGTTAACACAAAGTTAGAGATTTGGAAAAAAGCTCTTGAATCTAAAAGATTCTGGATAAGCAGAACTAAGACGGAGTACATGGAATGTAAATTTAGTAACAATAACAATAAAAGTAGAGGAGAAGTGAAGATTGAGAACCAAGAACTGCCTAAGAGTGAATATTTTTGTTATTTAGGGATTATCACAACAGCAGAGGAGATTGATGCGAATGTAGTCCATAAGATTAAGGCGGGATGGTGTAAGTGGAGAAGTGCGTTTGGAGTACTGTGCGATAAACGAATACCCACTAGACTAAAAGGTAAGTTCTATCGAATGACTATTAGACCAGTTATGTTGTATGGGACGGAGTGTTGGGCAACCAAGAAACAACATGTAGATAAGATGAGTGTGGCTGAGATGTGGATGCTAAGGTGGATGTGTGGTGAGATTAGACAAGACAGAATTAGGAATGAATGTATTCGGGAATAGGTAGGAGTAGCACCAATAGAAGATAAGTTGAGAGAGAATCGATTGAGATGGTTTGGTCATATTCAACGGAGATCAACAGAGGCAATAGTAAAGAGATGCGACACTGTAACGGTAGATGGAAGTGTTAGGGAAAGTGGTAAGCTTAGATTAACATTGACTAGCGTTGTAAATACAGATATGGATCTACTTAATTTGACTAATGAAATGCCCTTTGATAGGGCCGCATGGAGAAGAAGGATTCATGTAGCCGACCCCATTTGATGGGACTTAAGGCTTGGTTTGTTTTGGTGTGGTTTAGATTTTGGAAATTAAAATATTAATTTATTTTATAAAAACTCAAAATGACATGAAAGTAATGAGATTTTTCAAAGGTTTAGGATGACTAAAATATTAATTTATTTTATAATTACTAAAAATTGCATGAAAATAATTAAAATTTTCAAAATTTAATATAGCAAAAATAAAATTATTTAGATTTTGAAAGGATTGAAGTAAAATTATATATATTTTGAAGGAATCGAAATGCAAACTTCCTTTATAAATATTTTAAATTGCATGATAAAAATTTAATTTTTTAAAAGTTTTGCAAGGTGGTGGCCCCCGCCTGCCACCCCGTGTCTGCCATGCACATAATTTTGTGGTTTGAGTTATATATTTTATGAAATAATTTATGTTAGTTCATAAAAACTTATGTGATTTTGTAAATTTTAAAATTTTTATGAATACATTTAGTGTATGAGATATAATATATTTAGCATAGCAGAAAGGATAATATGTATTGTGGGTTTATTTTTATTCTGTTGGTTAAAGAAACTATTTTTATTTTATTTTATTGTTTTAGTTTAAAAGGGGCATAAAATATCATAGTTTTTTACCGTGATTATCAGTCCATAAAGATTATAGTTTTTTTTAATTATATGAAACTGATATTAATAATACCATAAAAGATCATGATTTTTTCAAAAAGTGAGCTCCTTACTATATTATTGATCTCAGGTTTGTAAAAATAATTACAGTTAAAAAATGTGATTGATTATGACCATAAATAAACAATCACACCCAAAAAAATCACGCTTCATGAGAAGGAAAAACCTGAGATTGTTTATGAAACAGCACAGTTCTCAAATTTTTGTAAGGGTAATTTTAGCGATATCAAATTTTTTACTAAATAAATTACTAAATGTTTCACGTGAGTCTGGGATTCGCAAAATTTGAGTAATTATTTAGTAATTTCGAAATATAGACACGTGGTATTCTGTAGTATTATGATTGGTGAAAAATGTGAGTATGTAAGGTATTATATTGAATGATTGGGGAACATGAAGAGATAAATTGAATGATGATTGGTTAAAAAGTACGGGCATGTGATATTTCAAAAATATTCTATAATTTTTTGAGACATTTGGTTATTTATTTCGTAAAAAATTTAACACCATAGCATTTTCTTTTTTGTAATAGTGTGGGCATGTGCGATTGCACGTGGCTTGCTAGTTTGTAAAAATAATTACGGTTAAAAAATGTGATTGATTATGACCATAAATAAACAATCACATCCAAAAAAATCACGCTTCATGAGAAGGAAAAACCTGAGATTGTTTATGAAAGAGCACAGTTCTCAAATTTTTGTAAGGGTAATTTTAGCGATATCAAATTTTTTACTAAATAAATTACTAAATGTTTCATGTGAGTCTGGGATTCGCAAAATTTGAGTAATTATTTAGTAATTTCGAAGTATAGACACGTGGTATTCTGTAGTATTATGATTGGTGAAAAATGTGAGCATGTAAGGTATTATATTGAATGATTGGGGAACATCAAGAGATATATTGAATGATGATTGGTTAAAAAGTACGGGCATGTGATATTTCAAAAATATTCTATAATTTTTTGAGACATTTGGTTATTTATTTCGTAAAAAATTTAACACCATAGCATTTTCTTTTTTGTAATAGTGTGGGCATGTGCGATTGCACGTGGCTTGCTAGTGAGCTCCATATGCTTCAGTCAATAATTTTGACTTTTGAGTTTATTTTGTTACCCTTTTATGTTCAATTAACTCCACAAATTAATATTCTTTATCATAAAACAAAATTTAGTTGCAATTTACAGTTCTAGGTCTTTGAATTCAAGGCGTGACAAAAATTCCCATGTTGAGTTGCTTTGTCTTACTTATCCCTCGTTAACAATACATAAGTCCTTCATGTTCAGTTTTACTAACGCATATGTTGATTTGTCTAACCTTGCAAACTTTCAAATAATTCTTTGGTTACATACAATTTAAATTGTATTGATATGGGAAATGCTTAAGACATCACTCCTAAATTTTCTCTTAATGACGTGGACAAACATGTCAACTTTTTATTGATTTAAGCATTATTTATTTTGATATATCCCTCATTTTTTTAAATTTTTTTTTTTATTTTTCTCATTAAATTATCATTTTCTTCGTCACTTGTTAAGACATACTCTAGCCTAGATCTACGGGGGAATGGGAAGATGATCACCCAAGTGCCCCACATAGGTTTGAACTCGCAAACTCCACTATGGGAGTAAGAAAGCATTACACTCTGGTACAATGCCATAGGTTCATAAACACTTCTTTTCATTAGGGGAAAAAGTAAATAAATAAAAGGCACAATACACTGGAAGCAGAATTAATGAATGCAAAATGAACAAAATTAAGTGGAAAAATCAAAATACAAACAAACAAAATATAAAAGTCTTTTTACGTAGAAGTAAGTCAACATACATCTAACAATCACCATATATGCAGTGACAGAAATCTCTTGTATTGAGAATGTCCTTTCACAATAAACCAAAAGCAACAATGTAACGCCCTCAAAAATAACCCATTATATATATATCATTGACATGCATTACTTAAAGAAGACAATACTCCCTCCGTCCCAAAATATTAGTCCCTTATTCCATTTTTCATTGTCCCAAAATATTAGTCCATCTTCAAAAATCAAGTACAAAAATAATATAAATTTCCTATTTTACCCTTCTTTTAAATTAATAAACAACATAAAAAGTACAATTATGCATTGATATTCCCAAAAAATGTACTATCAAAAGGATAATTTTGAAAAATCAACTTTTTTTCAAATGCAATAATTGTACTACCAAAAAAAGTTGGATTCCCCAAAAGGGACCATTATTTTGGGACGGAGGGAGTATATTAATTCATTCATCAGAGTATTACTAAATAAAGCATTACATGTAACAGTGAATAAAATGCCTTACAGGCTTACATCTTTCCAAGCCAACACTTGGATACAAAAATATGAGTTCTAACTCAAATATTTTGTTTTGTTTAAATAAACTCGAATTAATGATGGTGACCTTAGTAAAATTGGTACTTACTATCTACTGGTTTACTATTAGCACAATGATTATGATTTAACCTTTAGATCGGCTATTATGGGTAATAGTTGTAAGATTCTGATGTGTGACTTGTGCCATGTGGAGTCATAATTGGAATGGAATTCATATTACCAATCGTTGCCCAGTCACCTATAGATATTAGTTATATGGTTGTTAAATCCTATCAGTCTCGAAGATTGAGTGTGGTACCATGCCATCTCATTTTGTTTGCAAATATTTGTCAATGGTCATAAACATGAGTATGCCACTATTAATTAAATTATTATGTTGTTTCAATAAATTATTGTTAAATTTTTTTTGATAAATAAAATAATTTATTGTTATTGAGTAGATACGATTCCTATATTATTTCCTACATGTGGAATCAAAGCCCAAGGATAAATGTTCTTAGTAACAGTGATTATTTTCATTATTGATTACGAGTATCATAAGATTCTTAGTTGTTTGTTGAGATTATGATGTAGATTTTAATGGGCATGACTAGGGCTGGGCGTAGGGTTATCCGAACCGCCCAAACCACCCTACCCGATCCGAACCGTGCACATATGGGCGGTTTTGCAAACACATTAGGGTAGGGCACGGTTTGGATTTTATCTAATTTTTGGGTTGCGGGTTTAACCCGCACCCACCCAACCCGCCCACATAAAACTCTTTTTTTTTTTCGTTTTTTTTTGGGGGTCAAATCTAATCGTTCAAAAAAAAACCCTTTTTTTTTCCTTCAAATTTGACCGTTCAAAAAAGAAAACCCTAATCAATCTTATTTATCTCTCACTCTATCTATCTCATTCTATCTCTCATTCTCACGCTCACTTTCACTCTCGCGATTTTCATCTCTTCCATTGCCTACACCCACTAATCGACTCTCTCTCTCTCATCGCAAGATGGACTAATCGACTGATTGAGAATCTCAGTCTCTGTCTATGTCTCTCTCTCCCCGATCTTTGATTTTTTTTCCAACATATCAGATCTTTATGTCTCTGATCTGTCTCCCTCCCTCACTTTCTCATCTCACAATCTCTCATACTCTGATTTTGTATCTACACCGATCGATTCTCTCACAAGTAAGCCTCTCTCTATCTCTCACTCTCCCCGATCTGCTGAAAATGAAGGAAGCATCAATCGAGAAGACTCATTAGAATTGGCAGAAGAAGAAGAAGAAGCCATGGTTTTGGAGCTGGGCATTCGCTTCAATTCTCTTCAGACTCATCCTCATCTACTTCTCCCAAAACCTCTACTTGTCCTCTCGTCCCGAAGTCTCCACTCCTCTCACCTCCGTCCGCCGCCGTACTCTCTCTCTCTCTCTCTCTATATATATATATATATATATATAATTGTATGAATAATTGTGTATTTACTACATTTGCATATTTCGATTTTGTAGTGGCTGAAGGTTACTGGTTGAAACAGTCCTCGATGTCTCCCTATGCAAGTTTTTTCACTATCATGATTGATAATGCTGATTACTGATTTATTTACATTTTAAGCTTAATTTGATACTATTTGTTTTTGGTTCTATAGGTTCAATGTATCATGGATCTCCTATTTTACTCTCAGTCCTTGGTCCTCTCACTGTTAAAAGGTACCATTTAATTTAGGCAATCCATGCTTCAAAGACAGCCTTAGGCTTCAATTCATTTAGTATAATTACTTACATGTATGTTTGTATATGTATAAGCACCTATGTTATGGTTACTTACTTACTATATCATTTTGTTGGGAACAGAATTGAAGGCCAGCCAAATCAACTTATTTGCAGGTAATATATTTTATTAATTTCTCTTAATTAGTATAGTTTTTGTTTTTTGTTTTGTTTTCTCTTGATAATTCTATCTGATTTTCATTTTGTTGCTGGTGTTTTTTGGATACATAAATATAGATTTGTGTTTTCTATTTTAGAAGTTTTTTATAAGTTTTAATTTATTAATTATTAATGTTGGAGCATTTTAGAAAATAAAGATTGACACAAAATGGGAGGAAAAAAAAGGTTTAAAAATAAATTTTTGAAAAAAAAGTTCAATCCGCAAACCGCCCGTAACTGCCCGTACATCTGCGAACCCTATCCACACAAACCGCAAACCGCATTGCGGGTGGTTGCGGGTTGACTTTTCTCCAAACTGCAAAGATGCGGGCGGGTCCAAACTGAACCGCAAACCGTCCCAAACCGAACCGCGGACACCCTTTCGGATATACAATATTAAGGTTTATATTATGTAGTAGAATTGTGATTATTTTGAACAAACAATTATTAAATTATACTTACAATTCAAATAAAGATATTAGGCAATTAGAAGGATAAGAATATGGCAATAGGAACAGGATTGTGATTGTGGCCATATATGTTTTCTGTTGGCCATTGTAACTTTGTTCTAGACTTTTGGATTATGCAATTTTTAAGTGCTTATTTTTTTGATGTATAAATAGGTAGCACAGTATGGCAATTCAAGCAAAACTTGGTCGAAGTAAGCATAGTCGATCAGCTAAGCAATACAGGATAAGGGTGTACATGGAGGGATTTACAGTGAATCCCATAACTATAATCGTTTACCTTTATTTTAGGAAAATGGCTCTAGAGAACCTGCATAGATGGAATGAGCCACATAGCACTCTCTGATCAAGCAAAGTGTTACAGGATTGCTCCACCAATCATATGGTGGGATCTTCAATATGATATGAATTACACACACGTATATATATATATATAACTTTGATTTGAATAAAATGTTACCTGAGCAACAGTCTTCCCTTTAGCCTCAGCAATCTCTTTTAGTATCTCACAATCCATGACTTGGTTAGTTCCCCATAGTGTTCCTCTAGCCCCTAAGGGTGAGTATGCTGTAAAATGAATACCCTTTTTCTTGTAGAATTCCCTTAACTTCTTTTGCTGCAAAAGTGGGCTCATCTCCACCTTCACATATTCAATGGAAATAATTCTGTAACGCCCCGAAATAATTCAACATGAACTACCCCCTTTCATGAACATCCACTAAATAATAACAATAATCCTTCCATCTTCACATATCTAATAAATGAGTTTAATACAAAAGTTCCACATGCGGTATACATTCATCGAAACAAAAGAGCACATGAATCTATAGCATGTGAAGCATCTAGTCCCAAAATAATAAAATGCCCTTAAGGGCTTACATCTTCCAAGGCAATAGCCCGGTGACACAACATGGCCTCTCGGACCCATACACCTTAGACCTTGGCTTACAAAAAGAATTACAACAAAAATAAAAGAGCTATTCACTCTTCTCAAAAATATCCACACCCTCAGTTCGGCGGAATTACCACATCTTTACCTGCACCAAATCCCATAAGGGTGAGCATAAAGCCCAGTAGAGAATTCTCACAAAGTATATACAGTTATACAACTCTCAATAAACGTGCAAATGTCCATGCCATGCCATGCTCTTTTAAACAAAATTCATTTCATGTTCCTCTTGAAGATTTCCATTTTTCAATACAAGCTCACAATGGCAACACATTTCAAAACTTCCAATTTTAATCAAAAGGGGTGGTAAATATGACACTGGTAATCCCTAGGCTGGTGTCTGCAAGTAGACTCTACAAGTACTACACAATCGTTATTTTTACCGGTATTAACCGGAAGGCTCGACGCCTATCCGCACGGGTTTCTAGTCTTTCACCATGGACACTCAAGCCAACTTATCAAATTCAACTACTGTAACAACCCCAATCCACAATTAGCCACTAATTTGTAATCAAGGATGCTAATTAAGTGAATAAAATAAATTATGAGTTTATTATGTATTTTGCATGATCTTTGGCTTTCTATCTGTTACTTGTAGAAATATCTATCTGGAATTCTGCTTCAATATGAGCATTGAAAGCCTTATCGGCATTCGAAACCGAAATTGACTACAGCAATATGTTATTTGGAATTTTTAGAACACTATGGCAAATTTTATTAAAAATTGATTCAGTCTAATTTATTAAGTTGTGTTTGGTTAGCCTGATGTTCTAATTAGTGTATTATAGCATCATAAATATAAATATGAGCCCCTTAAGCTCATTTGAGCTCGTCCTTGTCCATTTTGAGTGCAAAAATCTGAGAATTTATTTTAGAGAGAGAGTGTGTGAAATTCTAGAGAGAGAGAAGAAGAGATTGAAGGAGAATTGAAGATCTTGGCTAAGATTCATCAAAACTAAGCTAGAGCTAGATTAATTCAAGACTATAGGTATGAATTCAACCCCTAATTTATGAATCTAAGTTACCAACATGAAGATTATGTGTTTAAATGTGTACATTGAGCTTAGAATAAGGAATTGGGTTACAATTCATACATACATGCCCATGTAGGTGTTAGTTTACCATGTTAGCTATGAGTTTCATCAAGTTGGTAAGTCAATCCCATGTTTTTGAAGTCTTGAAAGAGAATTTGGATGAGAAATCCACACGCATGCATGTTTATATGGAGTTTTGACATGTTGAGTTTGATTTTGAACATCTAAATTTTTATGGTAAGTTATTTGGTACATGCATGTTGGAATTACCATGTTTAATCACTTGAATACATGTTTTGAGAAGGAATTTCTAACATGCATGGAGCTTATGAGCTCAATTTGCTAGTTTCATGAGTTTTGAAGAAAAGAGCTTAAAAGATTTTGCATGCATGTTTTGCTTTTTGAGTTTCAAGATGAATTGTGAGCTTTTGGCAAACTCTTGGGCCATGATTTTATGAAATGATCCTTAATTCTTCATATTTTACAAGTTTACTATGCTATCTCAAGTTTTGGGGCCCAAGAGATGTGTTTTGAAGAGTTGAATTCAAGTTTTTAGCTTGGTGATCAAATTTGAAAATTTCAGAATTTGCATCTACCGTCGAGCGTAGGAGTTCATGCTCGAGCAACCACTCTGAGTGTGTGCCCTTCCGCTCGAGCGACCAGAAGTTCGCTCGAGCGTGAAATGCAAACTCCCAGAAGTTTCATATCTTTGCAGACAACACCAGCGAGGGAATCTGCGCTCGAGCGACCATTTTTATTTTGCATGTCCACTCGAGCGAGGAAAGCTACGCTCGAGCTGAATACATGTTTTGAGAAGGAATTTCTAACATGCATGGAGCTTATGAGCTCAATTTGCTAGTTTCATGAGTTTTGAAGAAAAGAGCTTGAAAGATTTTGCATGCATGTTTTGCTTTTTGAGTTTCAAGATGAATTGTGAGCTTTTGGCAAACTCTTGGGCCATGATTTTATGAAATGATCCTTAATTCTTCATATTTTACAAGTTTACTATGTTATCTCAAGTTTTGGGGCCCAAGAGATGTGTTTTGAAGAGTTGAATTCAAGTTTTTAGTTTGGTGATCAAATTTGAAAATTTCAGAATTTGCATCTACCCTCGAGCGTAGGAGTTCATGCTCGAGCGACCACTCTGAGTGTGTGCCCTTCCGCTCGAGCAACCAGAAGTTCGCTCGAGCGTGAAATGCAAACTCCCAGAAGTTTCATATCTTTGCAGACAGCACCAGCGAGGGAATCTGCGCTCGAGCGACCATTCTTATTTTGCATGTCCACTCGAGCGAGGAAAGCTACGCTCGAGCAGGGACCCTATTTTCAGAAATTTGACTAAGTGTTTTTCAAAATATTTTGGCATCCTCATTGCATCTTAGGCATTCCTAAGACTTAATTGAGCCATAGTAATGAGGTTATGGATTAGAAACACACTAAGAAAGAAATGTACTACAGTTAAGAGATTGCTAGTGTGTTTTTTGATCTATTTGATAAGAAAGAACAAGAAACAATGTAAAGAAAGCTAAGCCGTGATAGCCATACGAATGTGTAATGATAAGATATGTTGGTGTCATGTACTTTTGTGTTTGTAGGTCAACGTCTGGGGATTGATTGACTGTTTGCTGGAACCACTGTGAGTAACATCTCTGTAAAGATATGTTGATATGAACTATGTTTCAGCTGTTATGCGATAAGTTATAATTTATGAAATGATATTGTTTACGTAAACGAATGTCCTATGTTTGGAATCTACTATGGCATCCATAGATAGTCCCAAGTCATGGGGGACGGCATGTAAATGCGGGTCCATGACATAAATGTGAATATGAGATCCTGTTAGCCACTTCATTGTGGTGATATGTGTTTAATCGGTATCCGGAACTGATTACTCTAGTCGGAAGACGATATGTGATGTGTTCTATGGGATATACCATTATTATGTTCAAATGCAAGAATGTTTATACTATGATCTATTTTACGCTTATGACATGCTCGGATTTCGTTCACTAGCCCCTTTACGTTAATGTTATTCACTGGGCTTTAGCTCACTGTGTGTATATATATGTATAGGTGGGCATTCTGAAGATCGAGCCTGAAGGCTTTTGTCTGGATTTATGTTCTGTTGTTGTCACGACCCAAACCCGTCCCTAAGGGTTTAGTATCGTAACCGTCCAGTAATCCGTGATTACCAAAGGCCTGCTTAATAGTAATTATAACGCCCTCAAAATAATAACATTAAACCCATTAAATAAGACATGCATTGATATTCAAAAGTCCCACATTCTTCCATATATCAGAGTTTCATTACAAAAGGTATTACATGTTAACAACAAAAGCAAATGCCCTACGGGCTTATAGCTTTCCAAGTTAACACTTGGTTACAACAAAAGAGTACTAACTCATACACATTAAGCCCTTGGCTTGAATTTACATGTAATACATCAAAAAGTAAAACGACAAGAAGTATGTCCGCCTCTAGCCTCCCAAGCTATGTCCTTGGAGGTGGCATGCTACCAGTACCTGAAAATGATATTCCCATATAGGGTGAGCCACAGCCCAAGCCACTCTGGCTCGACCCACCAGACACAACTCAACTCTCGCTCGAGCGACAAACT